GCGTGTGTTGTGCGTGGAATTGTGTCATTCCCCCCCCCCCCCAAATTCACAGGTTGCAGCCCCCCCCCCCAGGCCCTCAGAATGTGACCTTATTTGGAAATAGGGTCATTGTAGATATAATTAGTTAAGATGAAGTCATCAGAGTGGGCACTGATCCAATATGACTGGTGTCCTTATAAAAAGGGGAAATTTGGACACAGACACACACACAGGCTTCTGCAAGTCAAAAAAACGACAAGGACAAGGATTACTGGCAGCCTCTGGAGACTGGGAGGAGGCCTGCGGCAGATTCTCCCTCAGCCTCGGAGGGAACCAGCCCTGCCCTGCCTTATCTCGGACTTTTGGCCTCCACAACCAGGAAACAACAAATTTCTGTTGTTTTAGTCCCGCAATTTGTGGAACTTTGTTACTGCAGCCCTAGCAAACTGTGTGAGAGAGTGCGTGCGTGTGTGTGTGAGTGTGTGTGTGTGTGAGTGTGAGTGTGTGGGGGGAAGTGTCTGTGAGTGTGTGTGAGAGTGTGTGAGTGTGTGTGTGAGTGCGTGCGTGTGTGTGTGAGCATGTGTGTGTGTGTGTGTGAGTGTGGGGGAGTGTGAGTGTGAGTGTGTGGGGGGAAGTGTGTGTGTGTGAGCGTGTGTGTGTGAGTGTGTGTGTGTGAGTGTGTGTGTGGGAGTGAGTGTGCGTGTGGGGGGGAGTGTGAGTGTGAGCGTGTGTGTGTGAGTGTGGGGGAGTGTGTGTGAGTGTGTGAGGAGTGTGTGTGTGAGGAGTGTGTGTGAGTGTGTGTGTGTGAGTGTGAGTGTGGGGGTGTGTGTGAGTGTGTGAGCGTGTGTGTGTGAGTGTGTGTGTGTGGGAGTGAGTGTGCGTGTGGGGAGGGAGTGTGAGTGTGAGCGTGTGTGTGTGAGTGTGGGGGAGTGTGTGTGAGTGTGTGAGGAGTGTGAGTGTGTGGGAGTGTGTGGGGAGGAGTGTGTGTGAGTGTGTGTGTGTGAGTGGGGGGGAGTGTGTGGGGGGAGTGTCTGTGAGTGTGTGTGAGTGTGAGTGTGTGTGTGAGCATGTGAGTGTGTGTGGGGGGGAGTGTGTGTGCACGAGTGTGTGTCTGCGTGTGTGTGTGTGTGTGTAGGAAAAGCTTTAAAAAGAAATGTAACAGCTGATAATAGGGCGTCTGACCTGAGCTGCACTACTTTATTTATTGACTTATTTTATTTGGAAGCAGGCCAGGACAGGGGTCGAACCCCACCCTTGACCTTGGTGTTATCAGCACCACACCACTTTAATTTTGTACAACTGAAATGGATTTGCACATTGATTACATAATAAAAATCAATTTAAAAAACAAAGTAGGTCAGCCGACCTTAACGGAGCTCATAGTGCTAGGACTAGCAGTTGGTATACTGTTCCGGGCTTCACACAGTAATAACTTCCACACGAATCGCAGAAATGAACGAAAAGAAACTGGCATCGTTCATAGTGCTAGGACTCTCAGTTGGTATACTGTTCCCGGCTTCACACAGTAATAACTTCCACACGAATCGCAGAAATGAACGAAAAGAAACTGGCATCGAATGATGTGTCTGTAGACAGCTGTGGTTACTGCTTTTACCAGGAGCTACCGACTGAGAGAAATTTATGTTGCTAAGAAAAACAGATCTGTAACTTTGGGGCAAAACCCAGCTGCTTTGACAAAAACTTATGAAGGATGTAAAGTCAAGTAGTATAAACGTTGCTTGTCAGGATAAGCGTGTGTGCGTGGATTGCTGGAATTGGCCTGAATGCAGTGCAGTTTGGACTGAAGATACTTTCTGCGTTTTTTTTTTTGTTGTTGTTGTTGTTGTTGTTGTTTTTGGCGGCTGGCCGGTATGGGGACGGGAACCCTTGACCTTGGGCTTACAAGGATGTGCTCTAACCGACTGAGCTAACCGGCCAACCCTGTTTTTGTTGTTTTTTAGAAAATACCCACGCAGGTAAATTTTTAAAATATAAAAGAAATAAAAGAAAAAAAAATCCATGGACTAAGACATTTTTCTTGATGCTAAGAAGCCCCAAACTGTTTTCAAAATCAATCTCTAACCTCTTCATTTCTTTCTGATGTGCAGAAAAACTCCCGAAATCTGTGTGGCCTAGAGGGGTGGTTTCTATGGTAACACCAGCCCTGTCAATCAAGCCAAAAAGGAAGGCGGGGCTTCCTCTGCCCTCCAGCTTGGACGTTTGATCCACCTAGTTTGTTTCGAACAGATGAGAGGCAAGGCAGGAGTGGGAGCTCGTATAGCCGATTAAGCAACAGAGCAGGGTCTGCAATCTGGGTCTTTCAAGATTCCAGGGCCTGGTTCTTTTCCTCAGCCCCGGGCCGGATCATGGGAATACAGGTTTACTGAGATGCAATTCACATACCATAGAATGCATCCATTTAGAGTGTACAATTCCGAGATTTTTAGCATATTTATAGAGTTATGCAAGCACCACCGCAATCTAATTTTAGGACATTTTCATCACTTACAAAGAAACCCCGTGCCCATTAGCAGTCATTCTCCGTCCCCTCCCCCAGCCCCTGGCAGCTATTAATCGACTTTCTGTCTCTGGATTTACTTATTTTAGACATTTCATATAAATGTGATCATACACTAAGTGGTCTTTCGTGACTGGCTTCTTTCATCGAGCATGATGTTTTCAAGGTTCATACACACTGTAGCATGATTCAGCACTTTATTCCTTTTTTATGGCCAATAATATTTTATTCTGTGGATATAGCACATTTCACTTATCCATTCATTGCTAGTGGAGGTTTGGGTTGTTTTTACTTTTTTGTCTATTATGAATTACGTTGTATGAACATTGGGGCACATGTTTTTGTTTGAACACCTGCTTTCCATTCTCTTGGGTATATTCCTAGGAGTGGAATCACTGGATCGCATGGTAACTCCACGTTTATTTCACCCTTTGAGGAACTGCCAGACTGTTTCCCAAAGCAGCTGAACCTGCCTCTCAGAAACTGAGAGGATTCATTCACTCGTTTATCCAACTAATATGTATTGAGCGCTGTTGCAGGTGCTGCGAGTTAAGCAACGAACCAGACAGGCCACAGAGAGGAAACAAGTGTATGCAAAAAAAAAAAAAAAGAAAGAAAGAAAAGAAAGAAACTGGGTGTAGAAGGCGAGGCATGAGCCTGAGAAGGCCTCACTGAGCAGGTGACATTTGAGCAGAGACGTAAAGGAGGTCAGGGAAGGAGGCAGGCAGATATGTTGGGGAAGGGCATTCCAGGCTAAGGGAATAGCCTGTGCAAAGGCCCACAGGTAGGAACGAATGTAATGGGCAGGCCCAGGCCATGAGAAAAAGACCGGCTTCCAAGGCCAGGCCTCCAGTCCCCCATCTTCACGAGGTCCTCGCAGGCTTCCTTTCCCACCATCTTTTCCCAAATGCTTCCCTGGTCCCAGTCCCAGCTTCACCCAGGCCCAGGTCTCAGCTTCGGGGCATTCCAGTCCCTTGGTGCTAGAACGTGCAATGTTCCCATTGCGCAGGAGGAAAAGTTGAGGCCCAGAAGGGGACAGCAGCCCCTGCGTCCAGAAGCCCCGGGCTCAGAGCAGGGCCAGGCACCGCGGGGCGTCAGGGGCTCTAAGTTGAGTGAATCATTGAGAAACTTCCCTGCTGGGTTTTGTAGGATGCTAAGAACAGGGCCCACCTTGCTCTGAGCTAGGGGGTTGCCTCCTAGGATCTTAACTCCTTCCTCAGCAAACTACCGCCGTCCCCAAGGCAACTGGAGCGGGCCCGACCCGGATCTGCGGGTTCCCTGATCCGACAGGGGAGGGGAGTCTCGCCTTCCACCGGGGAGGAGGAGTCAGCACCGCGTCTTCTGGCCCTTTAAGAGGCTCCGCCCGGCGAAGCCTCCCAGCGCCCCCGATTGGTCCCGAGCGCGGCCGAGCGCAGCCGAACTTGACGCACCGCCCGCAGCCTTCCCGCCCCACCTCCCACGCGGCTCAGCAGCCTCCCCAGCCAATCGCCGATCGGCGCGCCGACCTTCATCTGCATGGTCACGCCCCTGGGGAAGGCTGCACCCAATCGGACGTCTCGCCGAGGTCGTCATTAGCATGCCGGGGGCGGGGCGGGGGGGGGCGGCCGGCAGGGGCGGGCTCCGGGCGGTTGGTTGGAGCGTCGCAGCAGTCGAAAGGTCCGGGAAAGTTTCTTTGGAGGTGAAAACAGCCGGGGAACT